TCAATTCGTTCATCCAATCAGACATTTTGATTCAATTTCGATACAGAAGTTTCGATATCTCGCGGTGCATACCTTCATCGGAGGCTGGCCGGAGGTGGGCTGAACCCTAGCCTTCTTACACACTCCACCACCAGTGGCGGCTGTGCTAGCACACTAGGTAATTATGGAAAACACACAAAAAAATTAAAAAGTTTTCGAGTGTGGCCACAAATAAAAAAGATCAAAAAGTATTTTTTCTACTTGAATTTACCTCAGATGAATAATTGTGATCAGGGATTTGGTTTTTGGAATCAACTTTGTGGAAAGAGAAGTCCAATATGGCATTACTAGTTAAGCAGCTATTGACAGAATTAGAGTTAGAGGAAGAAGAAGCAGCAGCAGCAGGTGATGATGATGATGATTCTTCATTATTATTCCATAAAAATGACAAATTTTTACTTCTACTTTCACAGCAACTTTCTTGCTTCAACACATCACCACCACTACCAACTCCAAATCTGGGAAATGGAATCAATATTCTGCCCTCCAAAGTTTCAAACTTTTTTGCTTCAAAATTATTACTATTCAAAACCAACCTCTCTTCATGATCCCCAGCTTCTTGCAATCCACCACTGAAAGAAAATTACAACAAATCAAAGTGGGCATAGTTTAAATTCCATGAAATGAGAGAAATTACATATATGTGTAGAAAAATAGAGAGAGAGAATTTTACACAAGTAATTGGCTCCATGATTGTGAATTGGGTTCTGGGTTATGAAGAATATTATGGTGATCAGCCATGGAACTCAAAGGAAGTGGAGAAGATCCAAGAACAAATTGAGGAGCAGAGAGAGAATTAGGTGGCAGCATGCTCCACCAATTACTAGGGTTTCCACCCATCATTTGCCACAAAAATTCTTCTGAAAAAAAAAATTTATGAGCTCCTCCAATTTATGCTTTCAAAGAGAATCAAACCCACCTGAAAAAAAATAAACTTGGAGAAAGAAAAAGAAAAGGAAAAGGAAAAGAAAAGAAAGAAAGGGAACAACTTTTCTTTCTGTTGCTTTCTATCCACACTTTTGTCATATATTTCCTTGTAAATGCAACCAAACAAAGCCCTTAGCCAAAACCATATAGATTTCTTTTGTGGTTGAATTTTTCTCAAAGGGAATGGAAAGATTTTGAAGAAAACTTGTTAAAATCTATGCTCTCTCTAGCAAACACTTTACAGAAGTGGGTGCTCTTTGTAATCTTCTTCCCTTCATTAATTCATTTCTATATTTAATTTCTTGCCTTTGCTTTTGTATAAAGTTATGTAGCTCAGAAAGCTGGTGGGCTGCATTTCCAGGTCACTAAACTTGATGGGTTTTTCTAGTAGATAAAATGAGAAAAACTTTGAAGAGTTTTTGAGATTTTCTTTTTGGGGATTTAGGGTTTTATCTTGAGATAGTTTTTAAAAGGGGGTTTTTTTTGGCTAATTTAAACTTTTGATGGTATTGAAATTTTAAAAATTATGCTTTTAGTTTATAACGTTTGATTTTTTTTTTCAATTTAGTCCAAAAGTAAATTTTTAGTCCCTATGTTTTAACATTTTTGTTAATGAATGCATTTAAAACTGGTCGAGAATGATCCTAATTTGAGTATTATATCATGTAAGTTTATCATAAATCCTTTTTTTAATATTCACATTTTTATAATTGAAAATCGTTAAAACTTTAAAAAAAAATGGAACCTTTTAAACAAATAGGAACTTAAAAAACAATATTTCCAACTCATTACAAGTATAGGTGATTAAAATGACATCTCAAATGAAAAAAAAATCACTTGACATTGGAGCACCCATTATAAGTGCAAATCATGTTACCCATTTTCACCAAGAAAAAAGAAGTGGAAAAAAAATAACCATATGTTAGGGTTTGGTATAGAAGCATATGCTTGATGTAGTAGTAATATATATTTGTGCAATAATTCACAGATGAATTTAAAATATAATATATAGTCCAAGATCTAAGTGGGTTAATAAAATAATGAAGGAAGACAAATAGAAGACAATCGCTGGGAATGTCCTTGAAATTGGTAAAGTGCAACCCCTACATTGCGCACCTACTATATGCTTTGCTATTCACATTTTGGATCTTTGGGAGTTTTCGATTTAAATATTGTAATAATAAAAAAGAACTACAACTGTTATAAGATTAAATCTGACAAAAATATATGTATAATGCTATTGTTATATGGGTGGAATTAGAGCCTGTCATGTGGACCTTTCGAGGACATGTATCAAGGCTTTCAGTTGAGATAAAGTCGAGGATGAGAAAGCTAAGGGTGGTAGGCAAGAGGTTACCCCTGATCGACTTGTAGGAATCTTGTTCGGTGCCAACTTGAAAACACGAACTCTACAAGGATAAAATTCATTGACTGTCGGTGTAAAACGTCAAAATGGTAGGGTAACATTTTTCAAAGCCCTCAAGGCAATGTTCACTCCTTAATTACAAAACAATTTCTACGCAAGTTCACTAAGTTCGACTCGACACTAGTCGAGACCCAAGTATTAACTTAAGTTTTTGAAGTGGATATGGATCGAGCACCATAACATACAAGTCCTCGGCTTATAATAACAGATAAAGAGGTCACCCCAATTCAAATGTCAGCTCAGCCCCTCATCTAGAATTGATATGCACGAACAAGATACATCTCATAACTATAATCATCCATTTTTAGTTAGTTTTAGTTGGAAAATTTGAACCTCTAACCTTTGGGGACAAATAATCTAGTTCATATATATATATATAGGCAAGGGTTAATCTATCTTAATCCACATCTGGTAGGAACCACTCGATCACAGTTCTTTCAATTGAAACATCGTGTGACTTGGAGGACATGAGACGATTCGACAAAATGTTATAATTATTTATTAGGTAAATATTTATAGTCCTTACCCCATGAAATTTTCTTTAGATTTCCTTAATACATATCTAAATCCCCATCTTAAAAATCCATTTCCAATTATGAAAGCTGTGTGAGAAATTTTTATATGTTATGATATTACATTTCATAATTTCTCTAAAAAGAAATTAGAAAATTAACTTATTTATAAGTTTTTTTTTTTTTTTGACAAAATCTTATTTTTAAGTCTAAAAACACCGTGTGGAGGGCACATTAATTGTTAGTAATTTTCTAAATATATCATTAATTAATGCAAACTCGAGCGTTGTGCACTTGTCTAAAATTTGTAAATGTTAGATCTAAAATGGGTAAAAGAAAAAATAGTGGGAATATCCTTTTTTGTTTTCCTTTAAAAATAAATTCTTTTCAGAGTAATAGCTATATATTGAAAATTTTAAAAGATCCTATTTTCGAAAACGATCCGCTAACCATAATTTGATTATTTGATTGTTAATGAACCTCAATTGGGTTTTCTTAGGAAGCTTAAAATATATATATATGAAGAGAAAATTGTTGATCACGGTATTCAGAAATTAAAGAAAGTCAGACTTTTTTTTTCCTCTTTTTCGAGAACAAAAGAAAGTCAGAGTTATGTATACTCTCACATTTGCGGGAGGGGGAGGGAAAAAAAATCAATCAATTATAATGGAAAAATTAATTTTTACCTCATAAACTTTGATACTTTGACATATCGTATCAATTTTCATTTAAACTTTAAAGGTAATCAGATTGAAACTTAAACTTACACCAACGTTTCAATTTATATACGAGTTGTTGACACTCAAGATCCAGGTTCGAGCCCTCTTATATCCAGAAATCAAAAAAAAAAAAAAAAAATCAATTGCTTAATATTTTCGTAAACTCACGAATTTCAACTAAAACTAGCTCCGTGGTCTTGTTTTTTTCTTTTTCTTTTTTTTTAGTCCTTTCAATTTCCTACCAATTACCATGCATAGCTGAATGTGAAAATACTATTTTAAACCATTTTGCAAACAAAAATTTAGTAACAAGTAAAAAGTGCAATAATCTTTTAGTTTAAGGTAAATTTTATAATACTTATATAAATTTAAGATACAATTTGATGAAATTAAAAGCTTACGGTAAAAACTGCGAGTTTAGGTAAAAATTTATTTATTTTCTATTGATATATCATGAGTTTGATTGATTAAGTCCAGTCATGTTTACTATTTTATTAAAAAGGTAATTAGTTCAAAGAAATGATGTGTTCTCTTTCTACTTTTTTTATTGATAGAAATCGTCATAGATTGAAATGCAAAAGACGAACAATTTTTCAAAATTAAGTGCCCTGTTCTGTTCATATCACAAGTATAAGAATAAGATGTTAATTATTATTTTGGAAAATTAAAAAGTATTTGGGAATTTTGTTTTTTCTAAAAAAATAGTGAAAGTAGGCTCCTAGAAAATAAAAAATAACCAATCTATATGACTTTTATTCGAAAAATAAAGGAGTGGGCCATTAGACAAAACCCCCATACCCGCTCCTTTCCCTTCCACCTCAAAAATAATAATAGCAAATAAATAAGTCAAATTATTTTTTATCAAACAAGAAAAAGTCAAATTATTTCCATAAATTCTAATATTAAATTTCATTTATGTACTTTTACTCGTTGTTCAAAATTTTTTGGATATTTCTGTCTTTTTAAAAAACATATATGAATTTTTTGCCAGATTTTCTAAAAACTACTTTTTTTTACATTTTTAAAAAGTAAATAGCAAAATAAATAAATACATTGGTGAAAATAGTGTTTACAAGATTAATTTTAAAAATAGAAAATTAAAAACAAAATAATTATCAAATGAGGTATCATGTCAATCATCAACACTATTAAATTAGATCGCCACAATATGATTAACCCTAATAACTATTAGATGTAAATTCAAAATTTTGTATTCTCCTAATAATTATTAGATACCAATTCGAAATATTTTTGTAATTTCTCTTTGTAAAACTACCGCATACATCGGAGGGCCTCCTCCAATAATTTCTCCATTCTCCAATACGAGAGGTCAATTCTTCATTATATTAACATAACTGGTTAACACTAAAGTTTGAGACTAATAAATTGAAATTCAAAAGATGGAGATGACAAATATTTAAGAAGTACAAAGATTAAAAATTTGAGAAAATATACTTTAACTAATAAAATAATATAAAAATATAAATGTTATGACATTAAGGAGATAAACTTCCTGACCTTCTAAAATTGTCTAATAAGTCTCTCAATTTAAAAAATATCTAATAAGCAATTTCATGTCTAACAATTTCGTAAATTTTAAAAAACATCAAATACATCAGAGACATAAAATTGAAAATTTAAAAATCTATTTACTATTTTTAAAATTCAAGAACCTGACGCAAAATTAAAAGTTAAGGAATTTATTTGATCAGATACAAATTAAAAAATGTTCGGACAAAACTTTATAGCATAAAGTTGTGGTAAAAGAAGAAGCCGGCTCTTCCATGGGAAAGTGATGGCCTAATCCTGAGCAGAAGAATATACAAGCGTGGAAAGTGTACTACTACCATAATTACAGGTTTTGAAAGTGTAACCACTGTCACCACCATTTCAAACATCATTAATCCAATGTTCTAAAGTTCTTGATGATTAGACTCCATATCTTAATGGAAATGGAAAAACCAAAGAAATCATAAGGTATTATTTTCAAATCTAGACCATTTAAATTGGTCCAACTGCCAGATGATAGAAACAGAACAAGAGGACAGGATCCAGAAAACAGATGAAAAATTATAGCCCAACATAAGTAGAACTAAAGGCCACAGAAACTTTCTACAGTCAAATTTTCTCAAGGTAAAATTTATATAATAGGATTGCTAAACTTGCAAAAACTAATCAATATAAGCATACACAGCCAAGATTGTTTTCACACCAAATGAACAAGATAAGATTTATCCGCCAGTGATGGCACCAATTGAAAATACTAATTGATCTAAATTTCTATGCAGAGTTCAAATACTCTCCCCCCCACCCCTTATTGTACCTTTGTCAAGAAGAAAAGCAAAGTTAAAAAAGACGCATATTATTTCCTCTTGTAACTCCTGCAAGGAAATTAATCACAAAGTAATCAGTGAGTACCTGAACTACAAGTGTACTAGGAAAGAAAAAAGAATGAGCCCCCTACTAGGCTACTACACAATACAAGAATGCTCTTCCAGGGAATTTATTATTCTCTGTAAGCATGTAATGCTTCAAGCAAAAAAATTAAATGCAACATTGAAGCAATTTTCCTTTTTCTTGTTATTATCACTATACTTAGAATTGTATTTGCTCCCTCTGCCCGCGAGGAACGGGGATCACCGTTTGGGATTTGTAGCAGTGCCTTCAACATGCCGCTGCATGGCCACCACAGGCTCGTTGCATCTGGAACATCTAAATGAGTGAGCTGCAATGCATCGTGTCCGGAGGCAATAGTAACAGTATCTGGCAGAGAGGAAAAACTATAAGTTTAATACTTTTCTCCATCTCACGCCTAAGCTGAGCCAGTGAGATTAAACCAATAGTATACAATTATATAGACATGAAATCCAACTATGTTTATCTGGTTACATATATAATTTTATGTTAGAAGTTTTTTAAGTTCTATCGTTAGAACTGACTACATCAATCAACATAGTACTGTCAAAAAATTGAGTATTTGAATGAAAACTGTAATATGTATGTCGAAACTTTATTCATTAGAGAAATAATTTTATCATCTTGTATGCCTGTTCGATTGGGCTTAGGAACAAACACATCTAATTTTATCGTTTGTGCCTTCTTCAATCTTCATATGACAAATAGTAGTTTTTTCGGCTTTAGAAAGAGTGATGTGATAAAAAATACTGACCTGTGTTGACAAGGCAAAGCCAGAAAGGGAATTGTAGGACTTGCCAGGCAAATTGGACAAGCACTGTCATCCTCGGCTGAGCTTGAAGACTTCTCCTTAGAAAATGGACGTAGAAAGTTTCTTACAGAGGAAGAATTAAGAAGAGGAAGAAGCAACAGCAACATCTCCTGTCATGAGCACAAAAAAGTAGACTCTTGAGGACAAACGTTCCTCACTATGAACAATAACGTTGTATTTAGCTTAGCATTGGGCAAAGAAAATTGAAACCCTTATTCTAATATTCATGCAAGCATGAGTATAGTAGATGATACTGATTCACTGAAAGCCAATTGGAAACCCTATATGAACGACCTGAAACTTGTAGTTCACTTTAATTCTATCTAGACAATTATTTTCGCCAAACAAACAGCTTTTCCATGGTAGACGTCGACTTCAAACAGAATACATCCCGACAATATGTATCATGCTAGACTTGAAACAGAATTCTACTTAAAGAGAAAAAAGGGAAGAGGATGAGCTAATCATCATATGGTTAACAATAATAATGCATTCAAAGAATATATATCGTTGAAATGAAGCAAGAAGTGTGACATTTAGTTCTAAGCCAAAAAATTTCCAATACTTCTGCAACAAACTGTAAAGGAGAGAAAAAGTTACCGAGAATTCATTCCACACTAACTGGCGATTCATATACTCAAAGCTTACAGCCCTGTTCATATTAGGAGTCCCATAAACAAGCCTGGCTCTTAGAACCCTTTCGACAAGATTTCTATACCTGCATCACACCAAACATATGATGCTGCAGGTCAAGTTGTCCAAGAAAGTAAACAACTCATGACAATCGACAACCTGCCACCTTTTTATCTGAGTTCCACAGAACACGTACGTAAAGAATTTAAACCAGCACAATTGAATGAAAAGCAAATGAAAGCGAAACAACCAACAATGACACAAGAATCAGCAATATGATTGCAGAAATATTTAAATTGCCTCAGCAAATGTTGTGGATAAACTGAAAATTGATGCAGTCGAATGGATCCACAAAATGATGACAAAATAAATCAAAGCTCCAACTTCATTAGAAGAATTCACACTCTAGTCTCTACTGACATGAACTTGTACTTTATTGATAGAAAAATAATTTCATTTTTCCATTGCAAACCAAAAAGTAATCAATGCAGAGAGATCATTTGACCCTGGTAAGTATAATTTTTACTTGAGTAGAATCTTTTCAAAATACCTTATTGGCATCAATTAGAAACAAATAATTACTTAAAGCTGGTTGGAGTGGAAGAGTTTGTTTAAAAGTGCAGCTAACAGATGCAGTAAACCTACCTTCCTGTGTAAAGAAATATGAGCAAGTTGCCAAATGCAGCAGCCTTATATATTCCTTCAATGCGCTGTATCAAAAGCCATGCTCGCCTAGCCAGTGACCTCTGAACAAAATATAGGGTTATATAAAATGCCTATTTTATTCTAACCATCCACAGCATAAAAATATTCTCCACATAGTAGGGGTGGTGAGTTTCTGAAAACCAGTACCTGATCTGAATCTCCCCATCTACGGAAAGCAGAAAATGTTTGTAATCGAGTCCAAATGTATTGACCACCCACAGTGGTCACACAATACCAAATCTTTTGAGCAACTGTAAGGCCAGGTCCTTCCAAGCCAGTTCTGACTGTATTGCAGAAGAAGTCCAGAGCCAGGAGTAGGTCAACTAGGTTAGCTAAAAACGATTGAAGTTTTCAAGAAAGGAACTAGCAAATGACTACCATATATTACTAAGAAGATTTGATAACAGCAGTTCTCCCACGGTTTCTTGAAGTTTAATTCTAGAAACTTCAAACTTAATTATAATTATTGACCTTACATGTCAATTTTGGAGAAACGTGATTTAATTCCTACCCCATCTTGACTGTAACAAACAGTTAAACAAGCGGCATAGCAGGAGCTTGTTAGACCACCTTACCTTTTCCTGTAATTTCCACAGCACGCTCATCTCTATACCGCAAATTCATGAGAGCAATTCCTGGTGTGGGCTTGTCCACCCAAATTGAAAAGCGCCAAATAAGGAACTCCAGAAAAGCATCAAGCTCTGCTTCATATTGAAACAACATTCCTGGCTAATCCATCAAAGTAGAAGAAATACTGAATGAAGCCTAAATAACTTCACTAGCCAAGTATTTACATTTCAATGTCAGAATAGATGATCAACCGATACCTTCATCAGAGCAAAGACCTTAACCAGCTGTTCTTTCAACATGGCTGACATTTCAATATCTAGCCGAGCCGCATCCACTTGATTGACTTTCGATATCGAAATTGGAATTGGCGACTACAGAATAGATAGAAAAAAGAAAAAGGGCATGCAGGGTGTCGTAAATTAGTACGCAGAAATATCAACCAGCTACAAATTACAATACATGGACAGTTCAAGGTCCACCAACGAGAAAAATGATCTTGGGTAAAGTTATTAATTAGAAACAAACTCAAAAAACAATAAAAATCACCAGAAAATTCAAATTCAGAAAGGAACGAATATGAGGGCTAGGCCAGGGAATCGAGGCAGGTATGAATAAATAAAATAGACATCCGAGAAGCAAATAAAATTAGGTTTAGAACAGAGAGAGAGAGAGATGAAGGTACCATGCGAGAGTGGGAGAGAGATTTCCAGTGAGGAAGTAAGGTCTGGTAAGCAAGAGTCCATGCATCTTGAGGAGGTGGTGGAAGAGTAGAATTGCTGGTGGAAGGCGGGGAAGCAGAGGAGGAGGTGGCGGAAGCTGTTGCTAGGGCTTCTAAGACCATGACAAATTGATAGGTTGCAGAGAGGAGAAGAGAAGGGGAAGAGGGAGCTCCGTTGTGGAAATGGCTGAGGGAGAAGAAGAAGAAGAAGAAGAAGACTGATTGTGATTGTGATTGAGTAGCGCCGCGACGCCCTGTGCAATTACAGAAACGCCGAAACGCGGAGCAACCGCTACCTCAGCAATCAGCTCAGCTCCGTTTGGGTCTGCGTGCCCTTTTCTTGGGGTAACCAGAAAATGGATCCTCTGCCCCAAACCTGGTCCAATTATTATTTTCTATAAAATAACAAAATCAATTTGAAATTAAAATCGTGGTAAATTGTTTTAATTTATTATATAGGCTATTTTTTTTATAGAACAAATGAAATTGGAGATCCGAACTTATAATCTCTTCATCAAAGATATATATCAATTATCGCGAAGTTAAGCTCATGTTAAGTTATATACTCTTGGTTTAGTTTGTCAAGTTTTTTAGAAATTTTCAAATATAATTAAATTTTTGTTAATAAAAAATTAATACATTATTAAATTATTGCTTTATTAGAAACTCAACTATTCATTAACTTTTTATCCAAGTGATACTTGAAAATAACATGTTGAAATATATTAATAAACAATGTAACTGTAAATTGATTTTTATTTTTTATTTTTTTTTCAGAAAGTTTTAATTGAGAATTTTAGTATATTAAGGGTAAATTTGAGAATTTGAAAATTTTAAACATCATGTAAATTACTTAAAAAGTTAAGGACCATTTGCTTTATTTAATCTACTCCCAATATATTTTCTAATAGAAAAATAAGATAGTCCAATTATTTTATAATTGTTTCCCAATTCATTTTTTCAATTTTAAAAAATACGTGTTGAGCATAGCTTAGTGGTAATTAATATATATCTCAAACTATGAGGTTGTGAGTTTGATCCCCCAACTTTCACATGTTGTACTAAAATATATATAGTTTTTAAATTGTAAGAAAGATTTGTTAATTAAACAGTTAAATAGTTTGAAGTTGAAAGTTGAATGATTAATTAGCTAATTTCCAAGAAAAAAAAAGGACCAAGCTAAATATTTTAGAATAGGGAGGACATTAAAAGTGAGAAATATATTGGTATGAGTATGTAAATATTAGTAATCATAATTCTGTGATTGAATAAGCTATTGGAATGAGTAGTTCGTTCATGGAAATTTCTCAAAGTCTTCAAAATATTAATTTTTATTTTAAATATTGAACTTAGGTCATCCGATGAAGAATCTTGGAATTTCAAGAATTTTTGTCCTCTTTGGTATCATGTAAGTCATTCTTTAATTGTTTTGTACTAATTGTGTGTTTAATCAAGTAATTCTTTAATTATTTCCTGCCAGAGGACAAATCAGGTATTGGGTTAAGTCAATTATATCGTTTCATGACTTTGTGAACTGCGATCCAACACTGGAAAATTCTGAACGAAAAAAAAAAACATTTTCATATTTTCAATAATTTTAGATTTTAGATATAAAAATTAAAAATGCAAAGTTACATTAAAAATAAAAAGATAAAAACTTTGATAAATATGTTATTGACCCATTTCATTTCATGTTGTATATTTTTGTTATACAACATGTATAACATACTACATTACAGAGGATATAATATTGTAAAATAATAATTATACAAAACATATTCCATATATGTTAATAAATTAGTTAATAATATTTTAAATTCAACTAAACATCTAGTTAATAACTACCACTAAGTATGTATATTCAAAAACACCAACTCTCTAGTTTTCATCGAATCGCCCAACCAATCGCACCCTTGGCAAAAATATAAAACCGGAAAATAATTGGTTAGCTAAATTTAAATAGATTTTGTCAATTTGATTCAATCATGGGTAGCTTTCTATATAACCAACCTGCTTATGCCTCATGAACTTTAACCCAAATGCAGCCCTTAGCTGTTCATACATGGTGCAATTCCACATCTACTGATTCATGTAGGAGGCTCGAGATCATGAAATGTTCCAAAATTACCAGACTGAGTAAATCCCTCCCCTACATTATGCCTTTTCGGCTTATTTTGGCCAACAATGTCAGCAGCACAACTAGGAGTCGGAGCTTTACTCTCCAACCTAGAGTACTCCACGCCCACCCCAAAGTCTGGACCTGGAAGGTTTAGGTATTAAGCTCATCAAAAAGTTCGAACTTGAGACCTCTAAACTAGAATGACCAAGAGATTCCAAGTCCTTGCCAACTGGACTACCCTTGGGAGCTAAAAATGGAAGCATTCATGGGATGGGTAGAAAATCTTCCATGGACAATTTCTTGCAGAACCCACCGCATGATTTCAATTTCCAGCCCCTTGGCTAGCTAGGTTTATACCTGATCAACTATAACTTTTTCCAGCCACCTAAATAAGATATGTAAGAGAGGCATCTAATTCTGTATTCCTGATTTATGGTTCTCATCCTAATCTCTCCTGAATAAAATGTACTCATTTTGCTGAGCAGAGCTCTCTTAACCTATTTAGGATTCGTTCTCACAATCATGATCCAGTTTTCCTATCAGTCTCTCATCAGGTTGAGAGCAACAGTGAAATTTAACAAATTAATTCCTTTGAAGGCTCCAAAGATTGCTCTTATAGGACTTATTCTTAAATACAGAAGTCCGACAGCGGATACGAAAACGGTTTACTAAAGTCAATTGAGGCTCGATATGCTACAACAGTAGGATACAACAAACAGTGGCCAATATATAAAACTGCCATCAACAAAACCACTAGGAATATGTTTGAACAGAAAGCATCTGTCCCTAAATTGACTTAAAATTTGAAAAGCAGAAGTGGGTATGGAAAAAAGATGGCACTTCCGAACTAGGGGACGACTACGAGATAAATGCAGGCATGACCTTAACTATTGACATGTAGAGTAAAATGCCTAATCTCTGTCAGACTCTCCCAACTATTGTTTAGATATCTGAATATAGACCATTTGTGTGTAACCGCTAAATACAGAAGTCTCAAGTCGAGCTAAACCAAGTCGCTGGAACAAACTGTACCTGCCATCTTCGACAATAGGGCTGGAAACACGAGCGGGATCATATCTAGTCTGATGTGTTAAGGAAGGGCCGGCAGCTGGAGGTAGCTCCCAATAAACATCAAGAATTGACTCCAAGTACCTGCTATTTTGGAAGTGCTCCGCGTGGGAAATAGCCCTATTGCTGTGGTTAAAATCATCGCGCATGTAGCCTTGGACACCCCACCAAGACTCGTATGGTCCACAAAGTTCTTCTATATCCACTGCCTTCTCCCAGAACTTCTGCCTTTTTGCTCTGATTCTAGCTTCATCACTGTCCTTGAAGCAACTGTGCCCACCTCCTAAATCACAAATATAAAGGCATTAAAATAAACTTCAATTTCATTGGTCACGGAGTTGCTTGCTAGCTAATGTTTAATGATTGCCACAACGATATGCATGAAGTAATATTTGCACTCCAATTAAAAAGTTTGAAAGGTTATTGAAAACTGAAATTCTGAGAACTAGAGCAAATAATTGAGCACTCAGATAAGTAAAAGTAACACGGGAAAATAATTTTTAATTCATTCTGTCCTAAAAATATCACAAGGATCACATGGATCAGTTTTCTCATTAGATTTCAGTTTCTTTGTATTAATGAGGGCTCCTTGTGCAAAATTCCTTATCCGAATACCCAATGGATGGTGTGAAGAAGAAATTTGTGTTGTATTTCTACCTAGATTTTTTTTTTTTTTTTTTAATAACTAGGAGTCAAAGCTTTGCTTCCCTATACCACAGGTGCACCCGCACCCACCTCAAGGCCCAAACCTGGGAGATATTAAGGATTTTTTGTATTAAGCTCACAGAAGGTTCGAACTTGAGGCTCTGAGCCAGTATAACCATGAGACCCCAAGTCCTTGCCAACTAGGCTGTCCCTTGAGGGCTACCTAGACATATTCATATTTGGTATAAAAACAGACAGACAGAGCAAAGTGGAAGAGCAGGCACCTCTAATATAGAACTGATCGCACATCTGCCTTAAAGAATAATGGTCTCCCGTACCAGTGTCATAGTTATCCTCAAAAACAAGATGTTGAAAGCCAGCTTTCAGAGCCTGCTTTATTCTGCCCTCAAATAACACGATAAACTTTCAGCATAAACAAAGTGTATAGTTATATAGAAAATGAAAATAATTGATTAAAATGAAACTCTGATTACCTCTTTAATTCATTCTGATGGTCATCAAAAAATATAAGGACTCGACTAAGATCATCGATTCCATGTTCTTTCATCACATTTATCCAAGCAACACTTCCGAAGTCTACAAAGTCCTTTCCAGCAAAATATGTACAATTAGCATCAACGTAAGCAGGCCCTTTCTTCAAGTATTTTTCAGGGTGACGCGGTGACAGTGAAATAATTGGTGTGTCTGGCATTGCTTGCCGCAACACCCAAGTTGAATGTCCCTTGAATGCGCCACTCTCAATCATCAGATCTGGCTTTAGCCAACGAGCAATGAACCAAAGGCCAAAGCTGTGATCAAAGCCCATACCATACATGTTGTTTTTTATCGGACGGGTCTCGTAAATTGGTACAAACTCCTCCAAGCCTCTTAGTAAATCTTTTGCGGTCCATTCCACTGTCTTTCCATGTTTCGATCTGCCTTTTGCCAAGGATGGGATTATAAGGATTCAAACAGGTAAAAAGTTTAGGAAATTCATAATATTTGATCAGACTAGAACTTAGGACTGCGAAGTCAAAGAGAATATGACTTATAGTAGTTCATTTATAAGGATTCTTAATCGTAAACACCAAAAATTCAACACTATCAAATATTGTCGTGTATGTTCAAGACTCCAATGTTGTGACATAAGTTGGAACTAAAGTTTTAATGACAAAAATGAGCTAGTACATCATCATGACGCTACAGCTTACAAGCCTAAAAATTATACAATCGCAAATTCGCAATACATAGTCCAAGACTGAGCAAAGAGAAAAATCGAATCGTACGTTTCAAAATAGAAAAAGCTCAAGAGATGCGAAACTGCCAACTAGTTACAACAACAAATCAACGACATGAGATTGCTGACAGCGGTACACACAAATTCCATCACCAAAAACAAATTAATGATGATTCTGCTCCTAATTTTCCATCATAAATAGACAGAACACGGATCTAGAACTCAACATTTCGAAAACCGAAACGGATCAGATCGAATGGCAGTAGCAAGAAAACTTACACCAGGGCACGCCAAGGGAGCCGAAATCGGATTCGAGGCCGTCCATGCCGAAGAACCCAGAGCGCGAAACGGGATCGTAGTTGGAGACGCACACAAATCTGCGGGAGTGGAAGAATATCAAGGAGGAGATGAAGAGGAAGATTAAGGCAAGAAGAGCGAGGCAGGCCCAAATGGGTCCGATCCGGGCGAAGTAGTTGGAGAATCGGTGGGTGAAGAAGGAGAAATTGTGCTTCTTGGTCTTGGAGAAATGGTCGTCGTCGTCGTGGTCGTCAACATCGCCACTGTGATAGGGGACTCTGCGGATGGAGAGGACGCGCTCGAGCATCCGATTGGAAGTAGGGCTCTGGGGGCTGGAGGATTGTACTCGGTCTCTCATAGTGTCGAAGCTCATGGTGCTGCTGGTATGGTCGAGTTCTAGCCGAAGAGTCTGTTTTGGGCTTGGAATCTTGGATTGCCATGCTTTCATTTCCTCGCTCCTCCTTTTTTATTTATGCAAACAAACAGCAACCGTCCCTCTCTTTTTTACCCCCTTTAAACAACACCATTTTTAGGACATTTTCCTTGTTTGTTTCTTTGCCAATGCCAAGTGAGAAGGTTAACCAAATCAAATTTGTAAAAATAACACCATTAATTCTTTACTTAATGTGATGGTCTAAAAATCTCAAAATTTTTTTCTTTTTCTTTTTTTATGGAAATGTAGATAAAATATCATTTTCATAATATTTGTTTTTCTTTTAATCATTCATATCAGTATTAATTTTAATATAAATTTATATTACATCTCAATAAATATATTGAAATTCCAATTCAATATCTTTTAGTTAAAGTTAGGTGTCTTGACCAATTAAACTATAGTCAAAGTTTGTTAGTTTGATGTCACGTTGCACTATCAAATTAACATTATTTGTTCTAGACTTAATTTATTATTATTTTTGAAATTTAACACATAAATAGGGCTGAGATTCAAACCTCTCCATCCAAAAGCCATATATTTGTTCCTTTAATCCTAAGCTTTATAAATTTACAAATCCTCACTAACCACATTAAACCCTTCAACGCAATCCACTTTTTTTTTATTATTATTGATAAAGCACATCTTTCTGTAACTAATTCATACAACTGATGATTTCAAATTTTATAACACTATATATAATTCATTATAATTATGATCTCATTTAAATAGTTAGTCCTTAATTTTGAAATTACAAACAATATAGTCGTCTCCATATGATTGTTCCCCTATACATTGTGTATCGTAAAAAAATATATAAATTTTAAGTTTTCTCTCATACACATAAATATAAAACTATCATCAAATTCGCATAATAATCTCGACTCTTCCAATATGAATAAATTTAAATTGGAATGGTGTGACATGACAGGAAACAACCCTACATTTAATCCTCTATCATAAAATAAAATGGCATTACATACATTACACATTTAATCTCTCCCTCTACTTTTAGAGAGAGAATTATTACAATGGCCTCTCTGAACTCGCCGGAGTCCTCTCCACCAAAAACAACCACCACTTCCTCCGCCGCTGCCGCCGTCGGCCAGAGGTTCTACCGAAGCATTTCCACCAAAGAGCCTTCTTTTTCTCAATTTCCCTTCACCCCTCCCCGTGGCCTCAGCAGCAACAACTGCCCTTCCCTCCCTCAGAGCTTCCACAACTCGCCGGCCACCTCCCCCCCGCACCCGGCCGCCGCCGCCAAGATCTCCGACCAGCTAATTTCGTACCGCTGCGTGTCGTCCGTGCTGAAAAAAGACGGGCAGATCTTATGCATGGCGATTTTCAACAACATAATCTACACTGGGTCTGATAGCAACTTGGTGAGGATCTGGAAGATGCCGGATTTCACGGAGTGCGGCGAGCTCAAGACCAGGGCTGCCATGGCGGTGGCGTTGGAGGTTTCTCATGATAAACTTTACGCCGCCTATAGTGACTGTAAGATTCGTGTGTGGCGCCGGAGCTGGGACAGAGGGCTCAAGCATTTCCGCCTCGCAACTATTCCGACCACCGGAAATTACGTCAGAAGTTACATTGCAGGGAAGGACAAAATGGTAATTTCCTTCATCTTTGTTTTTTTATAAATTTTTTTATTTTTTCTTTCTTGCACTGTCTCTTGGGTTTTAAAAAAAAAATTAAAATATTGATTGCTTTGATATAATTTATAAATCTAAATAAAGGGATAATTTATAAATTGCAATAAAAGGGAAACTGAAAAAGAAGATCCAAACTATATTCAACTAGTTGCAAAAATAGAGTAATGTATAGAGAGTTTGGAATATATATTACTGATTCCATAATTTAAGTTTTGGATATGAAAAATAAAGATGGTTTAAAATGTTGCTTGATAATGGTTTTTATTATTTATTACTTTTAACAACTAAATTTGCTTTTTTTAATAAAAACTAGATTGGTTTAATCTTGTCGTTTTAGATAACTCAGTGAGAAAGAAAATAAAAATCTTTTGAATTCGTTGGCCAATTTTAATAACAAACGAAAAAAGAACTAGTGAATTTTTTAAAAAAAAATTTGTAGTGAGCTTCTCAGGGTTGCTTAAGATAATTATCTTCGATTAAAAGGGGTGAGTTCGAATCTCATACCCCTACATGCTGTATTAAAAAAATTAAAATTTTTAAAAACTATTTTTAATTCTTAAAATTGGTATAGATTTCAAAATAATTTTCAAAGCATATTAGAAAATGTTGCGAAAATGTTAGATTACACGACAAATATAGTTAGTTAGTGACAAGCATTCATTAAAAAAATCACCCACTCCTACTTTTAGAAAATACTACAAAAAGCGGAATTAATTTTTTGGATCCCATAAATATTGGTGATGCCATTCTTTATGACCATTATTGCATTTGACATGGTTTTGGTTGAGCTAGTTAATATAATATACCAAATATTTTAAGTATATTAAATTAATAGATTTATTATATTATTGTTCTAATCTTGCCTTTGTTTTTTTCTTTCTTTAATTTACTCATACGTTATTTTATTTTTCATGATTTACGCGTACTACAAATTTTATAGTAGACTCTTAAAACCAAAGATTTAAATCATCTCCAAAAACTAGTTTTTTTATACTAGAAATTTTTGTTAAAATTCAAATAAGTACGTACTTTTTTTTAGTTAGAAAACGGAATAAATTAAAAAAATAATAATTAATCAATTGAACCACTTCATTTAAAAGAGTATGGGCATATATTTTTTTCCTTCATGTTGAGTACAATATGGGAGGGTGGGTGATTCAAACTCACGACCATCTAGTCGTATATAGATGTCTTACAATAAGAACATATCTTAGAATTTATATAAGATTTAATCAAAATTTTTAAATATATATATAGTTTTCAAATTTAAATATAAGTTAAAAATAAAAAAGAGGCACATGAAAAATGGAATTAAATTTTAGGAGGATAAATTCTTCTGATATTGAAATCTTCTATCTATTTATTTATTATTATTTTTTATAATTAAACATTATAAGATTAGACATTGCGACGAGATTAAGCATGTGAAAGCAAATCCTTTATCAATATAAAAAATAAATTAAGTATATGGATAAAAATAATTTTTTAAATATTTTACTACATTGAATGATATTTTAGTTGATTTAAATTATAATTTTTTTGTCTATATGATATTTTAGTTGAGTTAAATTATAATTTTTGTCTATATAATTTTAAAAGTTTCCGCTTTAGTTTTTATAGCTTGAATTAGTCTCAACTACATTCTTTTCTATAGTTTAAAATTTTCAATATACTTATTAAAAAAAAAATTTGGACTAAATTGAAACTCTTAAAACTATAGAAAAGCCAAATTCGAACAATGTTCATGTACCAAGTTATTATTTAACTATTTAGTTACTATTCTCTCTCTCCCTCTATATATATATATATATACGTGACTTTAAAAATGATTAAAAAAATGTAGGTGGATATAAAATTTTAAGTAATTATCTTTTTAAACCTGATTAAATCACAAACCAACTTGGAACACAAGATCTCCAATATGATTAAATCATCCATATCCACTGAAAAGTGATCTAAATCAAAGCAATTTAATAAATATTAATTTACAAATAGCTAGTGTGACCTAGTTTTTCAATATTTAAAAAACGAAATTTAATTTATCAATACTAATTTACTTCTTGCACACTTATTTTAAGAAGCTACGATCTGAAAGTAAACATAAATCTTATTTTGTGGTGGTGGGTTTTAAACTTTTAATTAAATTGATTATGTTTCAGATGAAGCACATGGGTCCAATCACGTCACTGGCGATCAACATTTCCGACGACGTTCTCTACTCAGCATCTCTCGACAAATCCGTAAAAATCTGGAGAATTTCCGATTTCAAATGCGTTGAAACGATCCAAGCCCATTCCGACCCAATCAACGCCATCATCGCCGCCGACGACGGCCTCCTCTACACCGCCTCCGACGACGCCACCGTCCGCGTCTGGCGCCGCAACTTCTCCCGCAGCCACCGCCCTCCCCACTCCCTCGTCGTCACCCTCCCCGCTAAGTTCTCTCCGGTCAAAACTTTAAGCCTGGCCGCCGACGGCGGCGTCCTCTACGGCGGCTGCAGCGACGGCTACCTCCACTACTGGCTCAAGGGCTGGTTCTCCGGCCAGCTGCAGTACGGCGGCGCCCTGCAGGGCCACACGCACGCGGTCATGTGTTTGGCCACCCTCGGAAACTACGTGGTGAGTGGATCAGCGGATTCCACGTGTCGGGTGTGGGCCCGGGATGACCAGGATTGCCAGCTACACACGTGTCTCGCGGTTCTGGTCGGCCACCGGGGCCCGGTCAGGTGCGTGGCGGCGTTTTCTGGCACCGGCTGCTTGGACGAAGAGGAGGCCGACGACGGCTGCACCATATGCAGCGGGAGCTTGGACGGCGTTCTTAAAGTCTGGCGCGTGACCTCCACGAAAAACGGAAGCCGTCGCCGTTCTTTGCAGAATCTTGATTTGTAAGGGCTAATTTAATTAATTAATTATTAAAAGGCTGTGGTATTGTTGTACTGTACTATACCTACGTAAATTATATGGAAAATGTTAAAACGGATATGTCTTATTCTTTAATATTTAAGTATTTTCGTGGTAATTTACATGTACTTAATTCTTATTTTGGGATCAGAGGTTGGATTTCCCTATTTTTAAATTGTTTTTTTTTGTTTCCATTATTTAAATTTTTTTAACTTAGCCCATGATGTTTTAAATAGGGTAAGACCGCGCATTTTTTGTGTAGTTTGTATGTGATCCAAAAATTTCAAAAGGGATACTTTTATCTTTAAGGTTTGAGAAGTCCTAAAATTATTTTTAACTAACCTTAAAGTGACGCGTTGGTTAAATTACTGATGGTATGTACTAATTTAGTAAAATATATTGATTTAATAATATATTTGTGGGTTCTCTTCCCATCTTTTCTTTTTCTCTCTTCTTCACCTTATTTTCCATCTCATCGTCACTGTAGGCCATTTCTATCCTCGCTTGCCATCTATCGAGATGTTGTTTTGTTGCCACTGTCACACCTCATCAAAATAAGTTTATAAGAGCTTGATAGGCTCTATATCTAAAAATTTGAAGCCTTTGCAAGCTCTCAATATTAAGAATTAATATATATACATTTAGCCAAAAAACAAAAAGAGTTTGTACTATTTTTTGTTATTTTAATATTTATTTTTAAAAATATAATTGAAAGTTGAATTAAATTTTAAAAACCATAATAGATGTATGAAACTATTTTTTTTTTTATTGCTGTTGAAATTTGAAACTATTGAAAAACAAATTTAGAATAGATGAAAAGGAAGCAAGTTATGCAACCAGACTAGCATATCACAATTTGTTTTATTTTTATATGAAAATTTACTTAAATATACCAATGAGCCTACACCATTAGTCTGTCTATCATATCTTTCGACCAATTAAGTGTTTTGGGATGAAATCAAATAATGAAGGATTTATTGCAATGATAAAAAATCGTTACTATAATTTGAGTTAGTTACTATAATTAATTTTAAAAGAAAATTAGTTTTTAAAGTCTGACGTCCAAATTAACACTTAAAAAAATCGTGCTGTCCTTCCTATTGGTGACAGTGTTTTGATTTGACTTGTCAATAACTGAATAAATTGAAGTGTCAAATCAAAAATTGCAAAAGGAAACAAAAAGGAATTGAATGGCATCCACGAATGCAAATTTTATTTGGAAAGGCATTATGGAGTGACGTTGGATTTTCTATAGAAATAGAACAATACAATAGTTGCCTATATAATGTATTTTTATTTCTTATTCATATCAAAATATTAGTAAGAGCTCCTCTTATTTAGATTTGTGTACACATTCCTCTAAAGTCATGAATTTCCAAATTTTAATTTGAATGATGTAATACTCTTAAAAAAAATATACGTTTGTTAAAGGGAAGCATTTGAGATTTCGTTTCGTAAAATGTTTACTTTGTTCTTTGTTATCACTCTTTTCGATTATCATTTTCTTCCTTGATCTATTTTTTGAGGGACCTAGCTACTAGAACTTCATAAAATCATTGAATTATAGGCAACGAGTTAAGCTTCAAGATCTCATCAAAAGCTCATATAAATTAAAATTGGTGTTCCATATCCTAAAGCTATTGGAAAACAGTCACTGTTAATTGAATTCTCTTGGGTCACATCTCCAACAATGTCGTCAGAATTATCGATTTCAATTGATTTTTACTTCCATTCTTTTAATTCACGTTCTCATTAAGTAATGGCCTATATGTGTGAACTTCTATATACCTTAGTCATTGGTGTATTATAGTCTGCATTTAATAGGAAACATGCATGAAGAATTGAAGAGTGTACTACACAAGTAATTAACTCTCCTGAAGATGTGTCTTTTCAAAAGTAATGAAGAAAAGATTGAAGCCATTGAATTTTAGCTTTAATGTTTAAAACTACCGGTACAAATTTAACTGTCTTTTAAGAGTTATCGATCGATCTTTCTAATTTTACATTATACCCTAACAATTTTGTCTTAACTTATTCAGGGTTAATTTGATTTATTTAATTCATAATATTAATTTCATATTGCTACATAATCTAATTGAGTATAGACATTTGCAATTTATTTTACTTTAAAATTTGGATGAAGCTACATGATTTAGCTAGGTCATATTAGATTTGATAATAATTTTTTAAGGTATATTATTCTTTTATTTCAAAATGTTTACTATTACGCATCTGTTTTAGATTTTTAAGTCTTGAGATTGAATTTTTATTAGCTACACTCTACCAATTAAATAAGTTAAATTTAGAAGATTGACCGTTTAGGTAATCAGGTCCATCCAACACATTAGGTTAATCTCTCAAATCTTACCAATTAGTTGTCAAATTATATCATCCCATCTAAATTAATGAAAAGAAATGAATGTCATTGATTTAGGACCTAGTAGAAATAAAAGGTTCAAAATACTCTCTATTACATAAACTAATTGAACTAAAAAGGATTACTACTAGACATATAATAATCACCACCTTGGAGCTTCCTCTTCTCCACCCAAGAAGGTGATAGAACAGCATTCATCTCACACCCAACAATCTCCTTCAACTGTTCTATCATCTCTGAGCTGCAGCAGCCGGAGCTGTTCATCACTGGTGGCGGCGGTGACGACTTCTTTGCCGGAAAGACCTTCACTCTCCACACCTTAAAACTCTGATCCAAGCTCGCACTGCAAACCAACATATTTCCCATATTATCGGTCTCCATTGCCGCCGCCAAGCACCTCACCGGGCCATGGTGGCCTTCGATCACCGAAAGACACGAATGAAGTAACCCATTTTCTCCGTGATCTCTCCTCCAAACCCTAATGGTCGTGTCTTCAGAGCCACTGAGAATCAAATCCTTCAAGGTTACTAAACAAAGAACTGCGAAGTGATGGCCCTGCAAGGACTCTCCATGGTTGTACCTGTTTAAACTTTTAAGTTCAGTTATGATTTAAAATGATATTAGAAGAAGTGACATTATATTTGAACTTTACGACTAATTTTAAAATTTATGAGTTAGAGGAATGTTAGAATTATGAATGAATAATTAAATATAAGTTAAATTATAAAATATTTGTTAGTTTTGATTTGGTCCCGGTAGTTTTAAAAATTTCTATTTAGTCCTTATACTTTGAATTTAGCTCCAATGATTTTGTTAAACCCCACAAGTTTAGAGAATAATATCTAAACTCTAATATAGCTGGTTAACATAATTAGTCAAATTAGTACATGCACGTTATCATATACCTTCACATATACAATATAGTAACAATTGGGACAAATTCGTGAGATTTAATCAAATCATAGTGACCAGATTTAAAATTTTAAAATCGTAAGGACATCAAATTGAAATTAAACTCGAACCACAAATACCTGTCTAAAACTTAAAGTTACCTTTGAAATCTTATGGATTAGATTGAAAATCAACCAAAACTACACCGTGGCTAAATTTATACCTGCTGGAGGAGGTCTCTTTCTCCCAGAAATTGATGAGGCCGTCGGAGGAGCCGGAGTAGAGAAAGTTGCAGGGTTTAGACGACGGCGAGGGGTTGACGGCGAGAGCCAGTGCGTTGACGGGGGAGAGCTGAAACTTGAGGATCATGGTTAAGATATGGGAGCTTTCTCCGAAGACCCTTCTCCAGATCTTGACAGAGCCATCAGAAGAACAGGTGAAAACGCAGCCGTCTTCTTGGTTTATGACGATTGCATTTACATTGCCTTCGTGAGCCATGAATGAATCTACGCATCGTTTTTCTGAGATGTTCCAGGCTTTTACTGTGCTATCCCACGAACCTATATCAAACACTCAGTTTAGTCCATAGTTAGGTTAAAAGTGGTGTTTAATCTCGATCACATTTTTTATAACTATTTCTGATCCCTATTTGGTATTAAATTTTATTGTTTTTAATAACTATGTTTGTTTTTGGATAATCTCGGTGGTAAGTTTTTCACTATCTAAAAAAACATACCCAAATTTAAAAAACAAAAATAAGTTTTTAAAAGGACTTTTTCATTTTTTTTTTCAAAATTTGGTCTTGGAAATATTTATAAAAACTATAACAAAACAAAACAACGTACATATTGAAAGTCATAATTCTAAGTTTAATTTTAAAAAATAAAAAATAAAAAACAAAATGATTATAAAACAGTAGCTTAGGTATTTAATATCTAAATTATAGAGTTTACTGATCCTAAAAATTAATTACATAAAACTTATAGCTTAACACAAACCTAATTTAGTTTCTATAACAGATTTATGGTTAAAATTTGCAAGTTCTCGGCCTTTGAGCTTTTGGAACTGAGTTACTGCTTTAATACGAATCATGAACTTTTATTTTTTTATTTAATAAATCTCTAGGGTTAATTCATTGAACTTATCAGAATCACATAATAAGTTGATTTTTGTAGGTAAAAAAAAGTGTAATGAGTATTCAACCATGGATTTAACAACACAGCAGAGACCTATTGTAAATTTGTTGGAGTAAATAACCCATAGTCAAAACGAACCTAACTTAACAAACATATATTTTTAATAGAGAAGTTGAGAGTTTCGAATACCACCCACGTGTAAAAAAAAAATCCTCCACAATTTCAAGTCTAAACTTATAATTTAATTCAAATTATTTAATTAATAACTCTAGAACTACCTGTATACAGAAGCTTATCTACATTGTTATAAGCCAAGCAAGAGATGAGATCTGTATGCTGCTGCTGGGCGGCGCGTATGTTTCTCATCGCCAAAAACGACCGTTTCGGCGGCAAAGTCGAAATCTTTTTGGGCTTCAATTTCTTCCCGCCAATTTTCACATCCCAAATCCGGACTCTGCAGTCCCCATGGGAAGTAAACAGCATCCTCCCGCAGGCGAACATGGCCCCCACCTGGCCGGAGCTGGCCTTAATGAACCCCATTCCGGGGCACTCCGGCAGCTTCCACGACTGAATCCGGCCGCTCTCCGACCCCACGAATATGAACTCCTTCGTCACCGCTATCGACACTATGTTCCCGTCCGGCCGGTGGAGGGAGGCTATGCAGTGGTAAACAACGGGCTGTTGTTGTTGTTGTGGCAGCGGCGGCGGCGTCCTTGCCGGCGACATGGGCCAGGGCGTGGGGATGGAGGCGGCGGAGGGCCTGGCCGGAGAAGGGAAGTACATGGGGTCGGGTTTGTCGATGGATTTAGTTTGTTCTTCCATGGAAGTAGTCCAGAGATCGGTTTGTGGGAGGTGAAACTCCATGGAGATTCGGAAGAAAAATATCAAATTTATATACGAACTTTTGTATATTAATTTTGGGTTTCATAATGTACATATAGGAGAGAGAAATTAAAAATAGATGTAATAGTTAATAGGAACGTATATATTTGAACGAGGCCAAACCAAATCTAGGAGGTTAAGTCTGAAAAAGTCATGAGTTTAAATTCTCACTCGTACATGTTATATTAAAAAATATATATATATATATATATATATATATATTTTAATGAAAAAAATACTATGGTGCTAACGTTCCATCACTAAATTTAATATTTATCAACATTTATTTTTTACATAAAAAAGATCTTCTTGCCATCAACTAGATAAAAAAATACTTAACTTCAATATGTCAAAGTTTTTTTCTTTCTTTTATCATAATCTAAGGATTGTTTCTCTCTGATAGAGAAGTGTTTGGCTTGAATGAGTTTTTTACCGCCCACTTTTACTCGATGAATAGAAAAGTATTCCAAATCAAATGAGACATACCACTAAACTCTTTACCAAATGTTTATTTAAACTTATAAAAAATTTATTTTGAACTGAGCAGTTATTAGAAGAGGACACTGAATGGCCCATTAAATAACTTTTCCCACACTCCGGACACCCACCATGACCAAATGTCCAAAGAAACTGGTCGAAGGTGGTGAGTTTAATAAGGGCAGTAATAGAAATATTAAATGCTAGTAAGAATTGATGTGGTATATGATTGAGTTAATCATAATGCTCTTTTATACATATATAGAACCTACCGATTGATATGATTTAGAAATCGATTTGATACGATTTGAGATTTAACATTTAATTTTAGATACTATTTTGATTGGGATGTTTTATTCCTATTATAATTAAGAATTATCCTATTATATAAATAGGACGATGATATATTTGCATGGAGATTAAGGAATTGAATCAAATATGAAATCTTATTTTGTAATTCTCTCTACTTAAAAGGCTTCTCAAGTTTAGCACTACATTTTTATAATTTGATTTGTTTTGAACTTTTAAATAGCTATCCCTTATATGTGTATATAAAAGCTTTAAAATAGATAATGATATGTTGTTGCATGATCTCGTAGAGAACGTCCTTGACTTTTAAGTTTATGGTACTATGGAGGTATATATATTTCTTCAATTCACAATCTACTGCAATCAAAATCATATGATCAAGAAATGATGTGGGGTTTACCAACATTTAAAAAGAAAATTTATAAAAGCAAAATCATAGTGTGAATAAAGTGAATATGATATTAGTAAAGATCGAGGCCAATAGGATGAGAATTGTTTATTGATATGGCTGTGTGTCTGCCTTTATAGTGGCCTCATTCTATCAGAGAGACAAATTGGTTTTCACCTAATACAATACTATATGACCATCTAACTACTTGAGCCATAGTTAGCAGGTTGTATTCGAGTCCATCACGCGAAAGGCAGATTTTATATTGGCCTATCATGAATTAGGGGATAGGTTAGGATGAGTCATTTTTCAATCATGTCTTTATACTGAATTTCTTTGAGGTTGATGATCGATCTACTTGTCGTTTTGAGTTCGCTATTTTTTGAACTTGGTCGTAACTTTATCTTGCATCGAGTTCTACTGAAATTCCAGCTACATGACATTTCTATCCTTTGTAACTAAATGATTATTTGACCACAATATTTTTTAATTAATTTTTTTTTTTTGGTGGCATTAGCTATGTAACTCCCCTATCAGTATAAGAGCAAAATCATTGAAACAGAAAAGGAAAAGGCTTGATTGTTAAATATTTTACAGTCAATAATTATTAGGGATGCCACGTAAACTAAGAAGGAGATCATTTACATTTTACATGAAAAGACGATACATTTCTTCTTCTTATTATTATTTTTATGTTATTTTTGTTGGACATTATTTCTTAAACACCTCATTTGGACTTGGGCGAGGGTGGTTGTTGTTGATGCGTGGATTTCGGTCCTCCTCTTCGCACCCACCAAACTTGTTGATCCGGGACTAGTACCTGCAAAACAAAATCGAACTAAACCGGTGTGACTCTAGTCACACGGGCTCCGATGCTTAAGTTAGTAAGAGAACAAGGTAAATGTAGTCACTTCTTCGCCCCCTTTACCTCTAAGGCTGGATCACTACTTATAGCGTGGAGTTGTTTCAGAACTTTCCATAGCTAACCCTAATTCACCGTTGCAAGGCCTGGGTGGAATCGTCGATCGAAGATGGGGGATCGTTGGCTGGGCTGTGGGCCGAGGCCCGGGTCGGGATCGAGCCCCGGGTCGGGATCGAGCCCCGGGTCGGGACCGAGCCCTCTCGGCCCGGTTAGTTCTCCGCCAGCCGCTTTCCTCGCTCTTTGCCCCGGCATTAGGTCGTTTTTGTTCTCCATAACAATGGCCTCCACTCTCAAAACAGAAGACGAATAATTGTGTAAAGATCTTTGTTTTGAGAGTACTTGTCGCTT